GCCAGGGACTACATCTTCATCTAACAGATGCTGCCATCAGCACAGCTGTGAGCATCATGGAGATCTAGAAAGGAGAGTCATGGTAGACTGAGACACAAGACTCTGGGTTCATTTCAAGAATAAAGAGTTTTTATTTTTCCCACAGCTGCTTATATATTGTTTAGCTAGCTACTAGAGATAGCATTGCAGTCATAACTTGAAAAAATAGTATCTGTTGAACCCTTTTCTGAGCTCTTCCTTCCACTCATTTCTGCAATCAGCATCTTTTATCCATTTATCAGAGTTCTTTCTTCCGCAGTTCCTGCCTATGTGGCCTTGTTTTGCCCAGGAGGACATTCCTCTGAGGTTTTATCTCGTGCCTACAGCTTTCCATAATCACCAGGACACATCTGGGTCAGGGCTTGTGCTTTAGAAAGGAACTACGGACCATCTGGACCTCAAAAGAGTCTCAACTATGACCCAGCCAGATGTCCATAGATTAGAGAGAAGTATAGAGAAATGCCTATAATGATGTACATAAAATATATTTGAGAAAAGAGGAGAATGCCATTAATATTAACTTTGTTTTTCTATTTCTTTATTTACTTAATTTTGTAATGTATCAGATAGTTTTGTTTTTAAAGAAAAGAATCAGCATTTATTCCATCTTTCCAGGTATCTTCCATAGGGCACATAGCTCTCTGCCTCACTGTTGCTGTTCTATATACAGACATAGACATCCTATGTGTGTATACACACACCCCCACATGACAGACCTTGAAGCTCAATGAGATAATGTTTTTTGCATAGTTTTCATGTTAAACACTGTCATGAATGAGGCAAAGTCTGCCAACAAATGCTTATTGAATTATGTTGACTCCAAGTGTCACTGTCTGCAAATTTGGGCTATAAGTGAACTTTATGTTCTCTTTCTCTGTAAATTCTTTTGAGGGACTTTGCATGTTTTTTTTTTTGCCTTATGCACAATAATTTCACAGGTTATTTATGATATCTACCCTCATTTCCATCAGTGGGGATGGACCCAGCTAAGTAGGATCCTATAAAATCCTTTTCTTGTTTTCTAGTATTCATTCCCTCTCTGCTCTGGAAAACAAAAACGTTGTAAATTAATGAAGGCAGGGTGGTGTGAAAAAAGAATAGAAGACATGGGTAGAGAAGTCAGAATTCCATAAAGATTTAATAAAGATTCATGAATGTTGCCTATAGGGATCTTGCACGTTTTGAATGTTTTGTTTAATTGTGTTTCCTTTCTAATCATGTTGGTGACCACCAACACACCTGACTTTCCTACATTAATTTTACATACAGTGCCTTGTTAAACTAGCCTATTATTTCATATAATTCAGATTACTTTGAGTTTTTTAATATAAGAAATAATGTCTAAAAATGATAATTTTATTTTTTCCTTTCCAATTTTACATGTTCACAGGAAAAGGGATAAGAAGAATCATGCTACTATAATGTTATTGAATCTGTGAAATGTAGACTATGGTTATGAAGCAGGAAGCCAAACTGAAAAAACAAAGCCTCAAGAGAAAAGTTTGTCTTTGCATGGAATACACTAAATGAGGTGTTCATTTATATCAACACAAACATTATTAGTTAAAAGTTGTGAATTTTAACTTAACCCTAATATTGTAATTTATTATAGTTTAATGGCATATAAAAGATATCTTCCTGGAAGACATTCACAAGACTGACTGCTCAAGAGGGAAAAATAATTACTCTGTGTGAGGAGTAGATGAAGTCCTTGGTGAATTTGTATTATTGACATGAGCATGGCCACGTCAGTGGAAACGGCCAAGCCGTGCCTGGTTCAGGCTCAGAGGAATGGCCAAGCCTTTCCTGAGTTAGGCTTAGAGGAATGGCCAAGCCTTCCCCTAGTCTGGGCATAGAAGCTTACTAACAGTTAACCTTCAGCTGAAACCAGTGTATTTAGAAACTATTAACGGCGATTTCCTCCTCAGGGATGACTCCAACCTGAGGCTGCAGTTTAACTAACCCACCTCCTGCTCATCTGTGCTGTACAGAATAAACACTCTGAGTTTCCAGGTTACTTACTGATGGCTCATCTCCACCAGAGTATGTGTCATACACGTGCATACATGTCTGTAAATGAGTGGAGGCTAAGCAACAACCTCAGATATCGTTCCTCAAATGCCTTCCACATTTTTTTTGAATTGGGATCTTTATTGGCCTAGAGCAACTAGGCAAGGCTGTCTAGAGAGGCTCAGGGATCTGTTTGATTCTGCCTCTTTTGGGCTGGAATCACAAGAGTATACCACTTAATAGAGCTTTCTGCAGGGAGGGATTGAATTTAGGCTATTATGCTTGTAAGATAAACACTTAACTGTGTGTGTGTGTGTGTGTGTGTGTGTGTGTGTGTGTGTGTGTGTGTGTTGTAGACTACTCAGTGGTTAAGAGCAAACCTCTTAGAGGTTCTAGTTTGATTTCCAGCTTAATGACCTGTAGACCTATAACACCAGCCCCTGGGGATCTGAAACCCTCTCCTGACCTCCAAAGGCACAGGAATGCACGTGGTGCACAGGTACACAGACAGTCAAAGCACTCATACACATAATGTAAAATGTACTTTATTCACCAAGCTGTCAGCTCATCATTGTCTTCTTAGACTCTTTAAGATCAGACTAAAATTATTTGAATGAAGCTGTTCATCAATGATTTCTTTCATGGATTATGTCTTTGATATTGTACATAGAGAGGCATTTCCATGCCTAAAGTGATAAATAGTTTTCTCTTTGTTTTATAATTTTGTATTTTACATCTATGAATCTGTAATTTTTTTTGCACTATGTAGGGTTGTATTGGTTTTGTCATAGCATTCTTTGACACAGTACACTGTCTAAAACATATCAGATGCCAATAAATTCAAGTTCATGCATGTGTTATAAATGGGAAAAACCAAACTGGGTTTTATACTTTGAATAACAAAAATGACTTAAAAGAAAATCATTGAAAAGATTCCATTACATTAAAAAAACCTTGTGAAATTCAATATATGTATATTAATACACTAGAAGTTTGTTAGAAAAATATGTACTGGGGGAAAAAAGAGTGCTAAAATAATAAATTATCTCCAGTTCAGTGACAAAGATAGAGCATATACTATATCATATACACAGAAAACAAGATTAAAATCTCTTAGAAAAGAAGCTTGAAATTGAATTTTACGAAGGCATGTCTTTTTTTCCCCCTTTGGTAAAACTTTTATATATATATATATATATAATTTTACAATACCATTCAGTTCTACATATCAGCCGTGGGTTCCCCTATTCTCCCCCTCCCACCCCCTCCCCTTACCCCCAGCCTACCCTCCATTCCCACCTCTTCCAGGACAAGTCCTCCCCCGAGGACTGCAATCAACCTGGTAGACTCAGTCCAGGGAGGTCAAGTCCCTTCGTCCCAGACTGAGCCAAGTGTCCCTGCATAAGTTCCAGGTTTCAAACAGCCAACTCATGCAATGAGCACAGGACTTGGTCCCACTGCCTAGTTGCCTCCCAAACTGATCAAGCCAATCAACTGTCTCACCTATTCAGAGGGCCTGATCCAGCTGGGGGCCCCTCAGCCTTTGGTTCATAGTTCATGTGTTTCCATTCATTTGGCTATTTTTTTTCAATAATTGAGTAAAACTGAAATTTATTATATGCCACAGTCACGAAGGCATGTCTTTTATATTTTTGCTGCTTTATTTCTAAAGTGTTTTATGCACTGTGACAATCAACAGAGGTTTATTTTCAAGGTTGTCACAGCTTATTAGACACATGTGCCCATTACATGCAGATAGTACGTAAGTAACATGAAGAATTCTGCTTGTGCAGAGTGTGTATATTTACATTCCCCTGAACAATAAAGATGGACCCAAAGAAACCCTTCCCCCTTTATAGGGTAGACTGGTTCACATTAAGGTCCCATAGGTGGAAAAGTGATGGGTAGTCACCACTTTGGTGACTTAGAGTTTCATCTGGTACCAAAATACAAAGTCCACATAAAGTCAATTTTCTCAGTAAAATCCAGAATATTTGAGAGTAAACCATTGACCTGATTTAGGAAGTGACTATATAGAAAGCCCTTGATTTTTTTCCAAGTTTCTTTACAAACTTTGGGTGCTGTTTTGTCAGAATTTATCTGTGATTTTGATTGGTATCTTTTTTTCTGCATTCAATAGATTAAATAACAAAAATAAGAGATATGTACTTAGTAATGTAAAACTCTTAAAAACAGACAAAAATCTAACCACTTCAAAGAAAACTATGATATCTATCTATCATCTATCTATCATCTATCTATCTATCTATCTATCTATCTATCTATCTATCTATCTATCCATACATACATGTCATGATTTAATTTATGTTGCTGTTGATGAAATATCTTGACCAAATGCAACATAAGAAAGAATTTATTTGCCAGACAATTCTAGGTTACAGTTCATCATTTCAGGGAAGTCACATCAAAAATGCAAGAGCCAGTAACATCATATCCATAGTTAAGAACAGGGAGAAACAAATGTCTGCTTTTTTATGCTCAGATAGTTTTCTTTACTCTTAGATAGATCAGGGCCCAGACTATGAAATGATGCAGCCCACAGTGGTTTGGGTCCTCTTAGACACACACACACACATACCAAGAAAATAAAACCTCATATACATGTCCAATGGCTAACTTTCATTTAGTTAATTCCCCACTAGAGACTCTCTTACCAGGAGATTCTAGATTGTGTCAAGTTGACAGCTCAGACTAACCAGCACACTATTTTTTTTTTTTTTAAAATATTCACTACATAACTAACTTTGCTATACAGCTTCAGCCATATTGCTTTCAGGGTAAGATCTGATTGGCTGGAATGCATCATCTATTAGTTCTTATGTTCTGGCAAGATTCTTTGGCAGTTTTTGTCTTAACTGACTATGTGTGACTAAAAAGCTAAGTTTTAACTGAAATTGAGCTACTGAGAATATGGCTTCATTCTTTCATAGGAGAATGATGGTCTTAAGGAAATAGTAGTTTTTTAGATGTTCATCTACGTGCCTAAGAAAATATGTTAGTCAACTCTACAATCAACAACATCTAATTGGTGCTTCTAGTTTCTGTGCCATATTATGCTATTCTGATGGGAACTTGGCTGTGTTTTGGAAACAATCAAACAAGCCCTGAGGTAAGTACATTTCAAAGCCATATAGGGTAGTACTTTTAATACAGTTCATTATTTGTTTTTGTCCTACATAATATCTGCCAATATTTGTTAGTTTCCAAGTGGACATGTTCTTAGAGTCCCCTTTCTAACAATTAATAGGAAAATGTAACAGTTCATTGAAATGCTCTTTTGTAGTTGACCTCACACCAAAAAGGCTTGTTGGTGTATAATGGTTTGGATCATGTACTCAGAATTATAGGAAATTAAATTCAGAACAAATAGCAAGTTTACATAAATGAGCACAGAGTTTATGTAGATGAGGATCTGTATGAAATTCCTAGGCCTTATTCATTAAATTTCTCTCAATATTTCTTATTTCTTCTTTGGTTCAGATGACACCATGAATAAGTGTGTTCATAAACCTTGTAAATCTTTGAAAATATTCAATTTATTTATTTATTCAATTTATTATTTAAGTCCTTCATGTAAATATTTGTTCTTGCTTTTAGTACGCTTCGAGCATGCTGAAAACAACAATCCATGTGTAGTCCCTGGGTGGCACGGCTTGGCGAGCTGATGGTCTTTGCTCTGATCACCCAGGCAGCTCTCAAACCAGCAATGCCTCCGGTGATCAAGGATCAGCCTTTTAACGTTTTCTGGGCTGCTCCTACTTTGTTTTGTAAGGACCATTTTGGTTTAGATATAAAACTTCAATTATTTGACATCATCCCAAATCCTTTAGAAACCCAGAGCGGATCCACGATTTCCATACTTTATCCAAATGAGCTCGGACATTACCCTTATTTCTCTGAAGATGGAAAATCCTTCTATGGTGGAATACCTCAGAATGTGAACCTCTCTGAGCACCTCAAGAAAAGTGCCAGTGACATTGCAGAAGCTGTCACTTGGTGGAGATCAGAAGGACTTGCTGTGATTGACTGGGAAGGCTGGAGGCCCCAATGGGATAGGAACTGGGCCAACAGGGTGATATATAAAAACCGCTCCTTAGCGTTCACTCGATACCACCATCCTGACTGGTCAGAAGCGAAGGTGAGAACAGTCGCCCAACAGGAATTTGAAAAGGCTGGAAGGAGTTTTATGAACGTTACTCTCACGCTGGCTTTAGAAATGAGACCAAAACGTTTATGGGGCGTCTATCTCTACCCAGACTGCTACAATTATGATTACCGGATAAATCCAGAGTTCTACACAGGTAGTTGCCCAGATGATGAAATTTTCCGCAATGATCAACTCCTGTGGCTGTGGGAAAAAAGCACAGCACTTTATCCTTCCATATATTTGAGTAAAATATTAAAATCGAACTTAAATGCACTGAAATTTGTTCATTTTCGAGTGAGAGAAGCCCTGAGAATTGCTGAAATTGCTAGAAAGGACTATGTTTTGCCAGTTTTTATTTTTTCCAGACCATTTTATTTGCAGAGTCTTGAAGCTCTGTCAGAGGTAAGAAAAAAATATAGTTATATTTAAAACAATATAAGGTTAGTAGAATATATGTAGTCTAGAAAGAAATCTTTGGGGGGCCTTATTTATTTCTCATTAAAATGTTATTCTAATATTAAAAGCGATAACTCAGCTCTGAAATTCCAAACAACTGGTAATTAGACATGCACCTAGAATTTTAGAAGATAAAAAACTCATTTAGAACTCAGAAGAATTTCTCACAGAAACTTCCTGATTGGAAATACATAAAATGGAGATTTGGGATCAAGGTGTTATCCACTCGAACTTTTCATTATACAATACTTTTCTGTTCATTGTATTAGGTTTACTGAAAAGATGGCATGGATTCCATTAAATACTTCTTAAAAGTCCACAATAGGGCTGGAGAGATGGCTCAGAGGTTGAGAGCATTGACTGGTCTTCCAGAGGTCCTGGGTTCAATTCCCAGCAACCACATGGTGGCTCACAACCATCTGTAGTGAGATCTGGTGCCCTCTTCTGGCCTGCAGTCATACATGCTGTATACATAATAAATAAATAAACTTTTTGGGGAAAAAAAAAAAGAGTCCACAATATGGCCTAATAGCGCCAAAGGATTGAGCAGTTTATATAAATAGATATTTTGATAATTAGTTCCAATTATCAACTTGACACAATTTAAAATCACCTGGGAAGAGCTTCTTGATGACTTGTTCAGGTTGGGTTGCCCTGCAGGCATGTCTGTGGGGGAAATGTCTTGAATTTGCTTCTTGATGTGGAAAGGCTTCAAAGTGGGATGCAGTGTTTTCTAGATTCGTTCCCTGGACCGTATGAAAGAGGAGACAGTGAGCTGAGAAATAAGAAGCATGCAGGCATCCATTCTTCCTCTACTCTTGACTGGATATGAGTGACTGCTTGAAGTTCCTGCAGTTGTTATTCAAATTCTGGCATAAGATAATGTTTATATCTTTATAGAATTTGCCTATATGTCTAATCCTGGCATTCTATTATTCTTTGGTCATATGACACCACAGTGGTTCTGCATGTGCTAACTTTTCAAGAATGGGAGGTCCTGATGTTTCATACTTTTATCATCTTTCTACATCATTCTTTGCCCTTCAGTATAAGTCTCTATATAGGGCAGAGGTAACTTCAGCTAATCTAACTGTGTTGCTGTATATGCTATGTAATTGCCTGAGAGTGTAGTGGGAAGAGGCTTGCAATCTGATCTGTGGCCAGCTCCTCTAGCCCACTGAATCTTGTTGACCTTTTAAAGTTTACTTTCTTTTGATTATTTTGTTCCTGAGTAAGTACAGGAACAGATGTTTCAAGACTATCGCATAGTCTCATAAAGAGAACTCTAGCTTCTTTATGCATGTCATAGCCTCCAACATGTAAAGAAGATAAGACTATCTCCCTTGAAGCAAGGGAATAGTATGTTCAGGACTGTCCTGGGGAAGCTTTGAAGCAGAATTCCTGGGAGAAGCTATAAATGATTCATAATTTCTGCCAAGCTACTATATTAAACACAGAAGTCAGGCAATGGTAGCACATGCCTTTTATCCTAGCATTCAGGAGGCAGAGATCCACCCAGATCTCTGTGAGTTCAAGGCCACACTGGGGAACTGAGCCAGACATAGTGACACATGCCTTTAATCCCAGCACTAACTTTAGAGGTCTGGAGGTCTGTACAAACAGACAGGAAGTGATTGATGTGACTGGGCGGAGATCTTTGGAGACTGAGGCATCTGTAAGGTGAGGTTGGCTGTGGCTTTTCCTATTCCTCTGATCTCTCAGGTTTTTACCCCAATATCTGGCTCTGGGTGTTTTATTAATAAGACCATTTAGCGATTCATCTTACATGTACAAATATTAAAAGTGCCCCGAGTATGCAACAGGTGGAGATGAAAACCAAGGATGGCATGGCAGCCATCATGCAGTTCAGCTCTGCTGGATTTTTGCCAAGCACTGTGCTGGCTCTATGAATTCTGCCATTCCACTCAGATATGGCTGTGCCAGTGTTCTACTCTTCTGCTTTTAAAAAAAGCTTTTTTTTTTTTTTTTTTTACATTTAATTTTTTTTATATGTGTGTGTGTGGGTATTTGCACATGAGTGCAGGTATTCAAGGATTCCAGAAAAGGGTGTTGGGGCACGTGGGGCTGAAGTTACAGGCAGTTGTGGGCTGCCTGGCATAGGTGCTGGGAAATGAACTCCAGTCCTCTGCAAAGGCTGTATGTATTCTAAAGTGCTGAAGCATTCCCCCAGATCTTCCTCCTCTTCATCCTTAAATATACAGGCTAAATATATATACATCCTTAAATATAAATTACAGGCTATCCTCTCTGAACTCTACTTCACAAGCCAATAAACCACATATTCTACCCATCAAAAAATAGACAATGTCCTAAAACAATAATTAATACATTTTAATGCTTTCCTATTGATGTGTATGCATCACAAATCAAGCAACAATATGGATTGTTTTCACCTATTGTCTTAGAAACGTAACTTTTCAAATTAAGTTTGCTTCTAAGCAATTGGTTTGTTGGTTTTTTCAAAAGTGCCTCAGCAAAAAGCTGACTAATGCTTAAGGAATGTGGTGCCATTTATGTAGTAGAAGAATGAGTGCCTTATTCATATTACTTAGAAAATTACAGATCACAAGGACTAGCAGAAGCATCCCAAAGCAGAAATTCCTGAAACTAAAATGCTTTAAAATATGAAATTGTTTGCACACTGACTTGCTGCAACAAGAGGAACATTCTACACCTGACCTCAGGTGACCGGTCACAGTGAAAACATAGACACATTACAAACACAGACACATTAAAAACATTTTTCTTTTAATTTTACAATACCATTCAGTTCTACATATCAGCTACGGGTTCCCCTATTCTCCCCCCTCCCACC